ACTAGTATAAGATAGGTATTTTTATCATATTAAAAAATCAGCAATTATTGTGTGGAAGTGGATTTTTCAGTAGACACAGAACCTTAAATTCTTTTGAACTATACTAAAATGTAAGTTTCTGGTTGTCACAAATTATAGCCATTGCAAAACAAGATAATAGTAAAATTGCATTCAAAGTCACATGCTGAAGAGTGTGTTACGAAAATCAGTTTTTACTAAAACGTGTCACAATCTACTTCTAAGAGTGTTAGCATTCCAGCCTTGCTCACTGCAAACTTTGGAAACTAAATCGTAAGTCTGGGCATATCAATGAGAGATAGTAAAAATATCAGAGAGAACATTGCAGGCACATGCCGTATATTAATTTTTTAGAAGATTTTATGAGAAGCCAGAACATGCCAATAAGTCAGTAACTCTATAGGAGATTCCAAATAAAAGGGCAGGGGGAGCCAGATGTGAAAAAGAAGTGATTAGCATAAATAGTCAATAAAAGTTAATCATTTATTTATATTGAGATAATTGAGAGTCAAGGGCTAAGAGATATTCTAAAAACCCTGTAACAATATTTCTGTTGGAAGTCAACAACTCTGGCCCATTTTCTTTATTTTTCTACTTTATTTGCTTATTTGAGTTTGTCTATGTTCTGCTGTTGCACATAGTGAGAAGGATGTCAGCAGAAGCAGAAAAATCCCCAACATATAATTGGATAAGACAACAGTTTTCATGCTAAAAGTAAGGAAACTAAGAACTTCGACTGATAAAAGCTATGCAAACATCGTCTTCGTAGTCTGATTAGCTAGGCTACAGGAAATGCATATGAATTTTGGCACTAATCTTCTGGAAGCAAGAAATTAAAAAGTCATGCAAGTGGAACCAGCGTTTGACAGCACTTTGAAATACACGAAGCAAAAAATTTCCATTTCAGGTTATGACAAAATGCTCCCATTTAATAACAAGATATTATAATAGCACATGATGGACACATGTTCTAGGACATTTTATGATTTTTTTTTATTCAAAAACATCACACTGAGTGACTGACACTAAAGAAAAGAGTAAGGTCATTATTATAAGAAAAATTAAGCTGTTAAGTTTGGCCTGAAGTCAGGCATGGCCATTAGAGAAGATGAACCTGCCAATGAAAAGGAGAAGAACGAGGCTTTTGAATCTTTTGATCCTGGTACACTGAATTGCTAATCATATGAGCTCAAGCTTTTTACTTCATTGAAATGTTCTTTGTTTATTCCATACAGTATAAGAACTATTCTGGAGTTCTGCTATAGGAATAAAATAAATGGACTACGTAGCCCTACTTTATCATTTTTAATTACAATGACATATAACTAGCTAAAATACTTATCAGAAGGTTCATGGGTACATAACACCTTCCTCAGTCATAGAATTTTACATATAAATGGCAAAATTAAGGAAACTGCAAGTTTTTTGGAAGCATTTCATGAAGCTCTCAGAAATGCACAATATACATATTTCTTACTGTAAGTACAATGCTCTAGAAGTTATAAATTTAGCTGGCTCACAAACTACATTGTAAAACTAGTTGATACATTTTCCATTTTCTTTTGTTGATGTTTAATTTTTATTTTCATTATTCATTATATGCCGTGATGGACTTATAAGGATATTTTCAATGGTATTCATATCTACTTTGACCATATTCACTACCCTATACCTTCCTGTTACTCCTCTCTGTACCTCCCTCCTCCTTCCATTTCCTATTTTTACCATATATATGTATATATGGGAATATATATATATATATCTATATATATATCTATATATATATATCTATATATATATATATCCTCAAATGGGTAACTTCCAATAAGTATATACAGAAAAAGATCCAAGAAAAACCTGCTATGCTTTGGCAGAGGCCTAAATGAAGGAACAGAAGAAGGAGTCTTGAAGCAGGCTTTATCTTTCCCACTCCAAATGAATACCTCAAAAAAAACTAAGACCAGTTCCTGACCCCCAGACTCTCCACATTTCACACCAATAGAATATCAAGTAATTGAACCCCTTTCTTCTCATGAAGAAGAGCACACCCTGTAGGAGGGAGAACATGAGTCTCTCTACTCCACACTGAAAGCATAGAGAGGCTCAATGTTCATTTCCTTCCCCATCAGGACCTATGAAGACCAAGAATGGATCTCTGCTGACCTGACCTGCTCTACCTCAGGACCTGCCAGGATTCACACAGACCCTTATCTGTCCTTTCCCTGTGGATATGATACTGAAGGACACTGTGGAATGAACCCAGGTAAGAGAATGACCAAGTGAAACATCAGTTTATCACACAGAAACCAGTTAGTGGGGAACAGGATGCTGGAGTGAATAAAGCTTGACATTTGGACTCTGATTAGCTTTAAAGCTTTAAAGTCAGTCCTTTATCCCAGCAACCAGTCATGAGACAAAGCAAATAACTCATTTTTTTTTTGGATACATTAAAGAGTGAGGGCATAGTGTAAGTCACTGCTGGAAAATGGAAAGGTAAGAAGAGGACAGAGACAATCACACCTTCCCAGAACAAACTCTGTAGGACCAGGAAAACCTGAAATGAAATGGATAAGTTGATGGAGGCTCAGTGTAGGGAAGTCTGAGAGCTGAAAATTTCACCATTTCCCTCCCCTCAGAACTTTTGTGTTTCATAGTTGAGAGCACAGGAGAATGTTGGAGACAAAAAAAAAAAAATCTCACACTTCAGGTGTGAAATGAGGAAAAGCATGACTTTGGAAGGTTTCGGAACAGCTGCCTGCTCTTCTACGTAAGGTGTACATTCAAAAACAAAACAAAAGAAGCAACAACAATAACAACAAAAACCCTGCCTTGCCACAGCCTAACTTGGTGGGTTTACATCATATCTAACCCAGAAACAGAAATGATCAAGTCTAGCCCCCTCTAGCCATCCTGTTGGCTTTTGCCACTCTCACTTGTATTACATAGAAAATTTCATCCAGTTTTCAAAGGCCAGAAAAATAAACCTAAGGATCTTCAGATAAGAAAAAAGAAACTACATTCACAAATATTATGTTTGTACAAAGACTATATCAAGATACCTAGAAATTAAAAAACTATTTAGAAATAGTTACATATATTAAGCAAAATAGCGTACTACTTAAAATTTTAGAAAAGCCAAATATTTACAATGAGTGCTTGTAAACTATTTAAAAAATATACTCTACCTTCAATAGCTAAACATCAAATGCTTGACTATGGATCTGCCAAAATATGCTCACAAACTATATTATGAAAACAAAATGTGGAAGAATATCTGTGGCAATGAGGAAGCACATAAAGCTTATGGGTTGCAAGGTGAAATTTTCCCAAGGCAATCTGTAGATTTAATATCTATGGGTTTTGCTATAACAATCAACATTGGTCAATGGATTCATTGTAGCCATAGAAAACCTCATCATGTCTATAAATGTAGATGAGCTGGAGCAGCTAAAGTGATACTGAGAAAGAGCAGCAAGTGCAGAGAACATACTATTTGACCTTAAAATCCTCTTCAGGGCTGCAATATCAATCCAGCCTGGGACTGGAGAAATGACAGCCTCCTAGACTAAAGAAATGGGTGAGCCTAAAACAGACCATTCAAATATCATCAACTGATTTGTGACAGATGACTTAAGGTGATTCAGAGGGGAAAAAGGAAAATGATACTGGAAAAACCATATCACTAAAGCACTAATCAAAACATTTAAAACAAAGCAGGCATATTTGTTCAGCCACTCCATCAAAAAATATATATAAGCATGATGAATAAGCACATAAAGCTGTTCAACACTGCTAACTGTTACCTCAATGAATAGTAAAACATATTGAAGTATTATTATCCACCTATTTGAATGGTTTAAAGAGTAATAACAATTCCAAGTCCTACAAAAGAGAAGAAGAAATAATTGTCAAATGCTGTCAGTTTGTGTACAAAAAGGTGCATCTGCTCAGGAAGTGTTTGGCAGTTTATCATCAACATACATAGGTACACTCATAATCTAGTAAATATACTGTAAGTATATAAGCTATAGCAATGAAATGTTACCAAAGATCCTGAAATTGAATATATATAATACTATTATAGACAATTGTCCAAAATTAGAACAACCCATTTGTCCAGTGCATGAATAGATACATAAGCTCATCAGGGCATCTAAACAATGTAAACCTACACAGGAACGTTAAAGAAACAGAATTATGAATACCCACATCAACTTCAACAGATCACCAACATATTATCTTATAATAAAGACCCTAGTCCCAAAATGTTGCAATACTGTATTTAGGTTACTGCTATGAAATTTTATGTTAGGCTCAATCTTAGTATCACAGAAAAATCCAGTGTTGCCAAGAGTTATGATGGTCAGAATATAAAGATGATACTAAATAATTTAATAATAATAATTTAATTTAATTTGCACTGTTGAAATTCTTTATATTCTATCTTCTGATGATGGATACAAGAATCTATACAAACATAAAAACTCAGAGTTTACACAAGGATATAGATTTACCCTATTCAATTAAAAAATTAAATAATAAGAGAACAATTTTGGATGCTTGTATAAATTACACTGAAAAAATTCCAAGGGATTGGAGAGTAAAAAAAGAAAATTAAATCACTTAAGGGTTTAAAGTAAGCCTGTTTATGAAGGAATATTAAACTATGATGCTAGAGTTGGTCAAGTATCTGGTAGCAAGCAGTAAATGTACATAGGCATTCCCATAAGGAACAAGTATGTGGAAGTGCTTAAAATGTCTCACCTAACATATAGGAAGGAAAGAGGGAGTGTAGATAGGATGAAAATCCACACAAGAGGAAGAGGCAGAGAGACACAGATAGGTAGAGGTTGGGGAGAGAAGAGCCTAGCCTTTCTCACAAATGAAGATCTGGTCAGTTTCCAGATGCCGAACCTCATTATTTCCTCAGTTCATCACTGTTCATAGTCACTACTTGGTACAGAAGAGCAGTCTATCAATACCTCTTCAATAGCACCTGCAGAAATCCTGTGGCCTGCAACATTTATTACATCATCCACCCGAGACATAACATACAGGTATCCTTCTTCATCCATGTAGCCTGCATCCATCGTGTCATAGTATCCCTGAAAATAAGAATGTATATAATTAGTTAGCATGTAGTGGTAGGTAACAACATGATCATTTTCAAAGCTTAGTAAAATATAAAATGTGACATAAATTGATTTATTATGAGTACTTGACTATTTTCACAAGCTTTGAGATTAAATTGCCTTTGGTTTTGAATCCTAACTAGATATTTTTGCTCCTCTCACAACCAGGAATAAGTTAAACTGTCCTTATATATGTTCAAGTATTTGAACTTGGAATTCTAACATTTGCGAACTCAATTACTTTTTTTTAATGAAGATGTGATGGCTCAATATTTCTGATATATTTTGGTGTGACAGGGATTTTTAATAAAGATCTCAAATTGTATCTATTTCAAAAACTTTCCATAAAATTATAGAAAGAAATTTCTTGTTTATTGACTTTTATTGGGATTGAACTCAGGCCCCAGTTAAACTTAATGGTAGATATGAAATATAATATTTCACCAATCTTTAAGTAACACATCTTTGTTGGTTTAGAAATCACAATATAAAGAAGAATCAAGGATTAAAAAGTATGAAGAAAACTACATATTATTGTCTTTAATACTGCTACATAGCCTCTAGAGTAAACAAATGACTATTCGTATCTATTAACCTTTCTAACACCTGATGTGATTCTCTCTGAAATGAGCTCATACAGTCTTCCTTACCAGACTTCGATGAACTCTACTAACTGGTGTGTATGGTGGATGGCTGATTCTGACACACATCCTCAAGAATGGCTGTTCTTACTGTATACAGTAACTATGTGAGGCCATGTTGAGAAAGAGTGAAGGGCAGGCTAGTTTGGTTCCAGCCTCAGCCCCTTCTCTTCTAACCTGCATGAGCTCCGAGTAAGTTGATTGACTCATGATTTTATTAAGCCTGCAGACGAGAGGCATGAGGTCAGGAAATGAGGCCAACTGTCAAGGTACCTCATGTAGTTGAACCACGCACTGGGGCTTAGAGGAAACTTCTGATCTTAAAGGCCATCATACTAAAACCAAGTATACATATTGCTTACCATCATCGGGTGATAATGAATTGTATCAGTACTCTGATGAATTACCGGTGGCCCATCATATAGACTGAATTGGCTGACTGGAGTCAAGTAAAATGACAAATATTTCTGCCACACTTGATCGGGAGAATGTTTAATCTTGGCTGTTGAGGTCAGTTGGCTCTGAGATGTCTTTATAAAGAAAGCTATTTAATCCTTGTCATTTGTCTGGTTGAGTAGGGTATCCATCTTTCACTCACACACAATGAATCTGGAATGCTAAATACTTGGACTCATGGCTTTTACAAAATTCTCATCATTCATTCATTTTTTACCTGGCACATAATAAGGACAAGGTAAGGGTAGGATGCTGATGTGTACTGTCAACAAAGTGTTGCCATGAACACAGCACTCATCACCTTGGCATGGGGTGACAGATGAACAAGTTTTGTCATCTGGGTCACTGGGGCGAGGGACTGGGCTTTATGAATACTGTCTTGAACCTATATCTTTATTTTTTAAATGATATTTTAAAATAAAAAGATTAAGAAAGGCTGTCAAAACTAGATAATATGATGAAAAATACATTTGATTTTACTCATATCGTTAAGTATAGTGGGGTGTTCAAATGACCTTCTAGCTCTGAGTAGTTGCTTGCTCTCAGTCTGTACAGAGGATTCCAGTAAAAGATCCACAATTATTTGCAGTCCAATATTACTGGATTAAAATTTTAAATATTCTGATATTTGCAGTTAATAAGAGTGAATGAAAACTTTGTATGTGTAGAGACTGGTTTGAATAATTCTGACTTGGCCATTGTTATCCATGAGACCTGGAAACTGGTGTGTATAAACTTAAAGAGTTCTTTTTTATCTGTGATACTAGAAGCATGTTGCTTAAGTTACAAGGCAGAAAAAATAGCACACAAAAAAATTAAAGTATTTAAAGCTCTCACAGGAAATTTCTCAAAGTATAAATGCTTGAAAGCTTCCTGATTCTTCCAGAGTCCCGAGAAAGCCCCAGGTGGTAATGGCAACCTTATACAAACACAGAGAATATGAAATTACTATGAATAAAAAAACAAAGACAATCAATAATAACTATTAAAATTATTTTACATTGTGCTAAAATAATGAAATTCCTCATTTAAACGTAGACCATTAATTTGCTGGGAAGATAATGTTTAATTTGAGGGCAAGTAGAGTACCATGTCATAACACAATTATTTAAGAATTGTAATAGTTTCTTAACAGGACACATACATACACATACACACACGCACAATTCAAATACTAATAAACACTCTATTTCAGTGAAAAACATAACATCTAGATATTGAACAAACAAAGTAAATGAATTATTTAAGGAAAACATTTCTATTATAGGAAAAAATTTTGCAAAAACCACCACTGTATTGATTTTCACATTTGTCCGCATAATAGAATATTTTAATTTAGGCAGTAAGTATACAATCTTATCTTTGCAATCCTTATTCCTCCCTCCCCTTTGAAGTTGCCTTTCACTGAATACTCCTCTTTCTTTTCATGACCATTAAGCCCTTTTTATTTTATAACTCCAAATGAACACAAGGAAACATGGAGCCTATGGAATATAAGGTTCTATATTTCTTTTCTGTATAACCATTCCCACACTTCACTCTTTCCTCTGCACTACCAAATTAGAGTTATTTGCACAGAAAGGCTTAACCTCATTCTATGACCGATCTATCTATGTTTATATAAATCGGAACAAATTTTTATGGTCGCTACTAAGGTGTACCTGTCAACAGATTCAAATAGTTTTTCTGGACAGAGAAAAGTTTTAGAGGCTTTATAGTTTAGAAGTTTAAATAAGAAACAATACGACGATTTTCAAGTCATTTAGTTAAAAAAAACTTACCAACTCAAGTGATGATGTAACAATTTTATTACTGAGAAAAGTGAAAGTGAAGCGAAGAGGGCAACGCCCACATGAGGTCACATGACACGTCTGCACCACACTGTGTTTTCAGTGCCAAGAGGATGAGAGGGGGGCCAGGAGTCAGAAGGCCATCCCAACCTCAGGCACACATGGCACTGAATTTTAATCCCGTAAGTGTCAGAATATGCCAAAAAGGTGGGTGCAGCTGTGATTACCTCTGTGTGCATCCCAGCTGGCACTTTCCTTTCCCACCAAGTTTAGCCAACCCATGGTTATCTCAACTTTCCCCTTATTAGGACTTTTAATTTCCTCTCTTAAAAAAAAAAGGAATATGCTATGATTTCAAGACATTATGTCATTACAGAAAATGCACGAGAGAAAGCATTTAGTAATCCCCAAATACAAAACAACAGCAAAAACTACGGAAATGCTGACTCATGGCTACCGCTGCAGCCCTTACCATGACTGCTCATCACTTAATCTGTTTAAAAGCATCACGATGAAGGTGATAAAGCCCCTAGGCACTTCCAAATGGCTTTACCGCACTAATCTTTCTGAATCGCCAGGTAAATAATTCTGCTTTATCAGTTTGTTTCAAATCAGCATGTTAACGTTTTGCAAAAAGGAATAAAAGTCAATTTTAAACGAGGAAATAGAACATGAATATAACAAAGTCTAATAATCAAGTTAAGGGCGTCCCTGAGATGCCAAAAGTAGAGAAGGAAAACAGACGTTAAGTGGAAAATCAAATTCCACAAAGAGCTGGGAGGCACAGCAATGATGGGCGAAGCAGATTATCTTAAATAAAAGAGAATAAGCCCGATGCAGATTCACATTGAAGAGGTCACTTCCAATTTCTCCCACAAAATATATCGAGCTATGGATCCCTTTCTAACACTCCTAATATCATTTTTTGATAGGCACATGGTTTTTCAGACATACTTCTTTGTTACCTTATGAGAAAAAGAGAAAATAAAGCTGGGATAATAAATGATGACTGACATCCACATTGGTATAAAGAAAACAGGGAGTTAAGGTATGTTGGTACATAGGAATGTGGCCCCAACTATTTACATATATATTCCCCATAATGAAAGCTGCGCATACTAAAGAGCATATTGCTACACATGCATCTCTCCTACTGCATCTACAGGAAAGCAGAAATTGTGTCTCATAAGCCTCTGCACAGTTTCCCCACAACACCCCCCCCACACACACACACCTCACTCATCTCTCTTATTCTATCTAATGAAGCTCCTGTCCAGGTTTCAAAATGAAACACCCCCTCCTTCCCTTTAAGGCCCCATCATGTTAGATCTTCACATATATCACATTGTTTTGGTCTAACATTCTCTCTCTCCTCTGGAAGCCTGATTTATGGCCTTGAGACTCTCCTTGTCTAACAAACCTCATTCCCGAAGAAAACCATGAATTAGGTGTCAGCCTCCTTTCAGGAGCAACAATTGCTGCTCCCTCGTGTTCTATTTAACTCAGGATGTAGAGAGATAGGGAGTTTGAGTTTTGTAGCTTCAGAAGTAGAGCCATCTTTTATGATGTTGATTAAAGCAATGTCTGGTCAATCTGATCAGGTAGTGTGGCTAATATCTGTCATCCAAACCCTTAGAAGGTAAAAGCAGGATAATTGGTAATTCACACACATACACACACACACACACACACACACACACACACACACACACACACACACACACACACACATACACACAAGAAACCAAAGAAATAAATAGCAATCCTATGTCTAAAATCTAAAAGTTTGAAGATAAGTCCACATGAATATGTTGTCTCAGTAAGTATAAAAAGCTTGGAGGTCAGTGAGATGATCAAGGTAGAATTTATGGAAGAGGAAGAAGAAAACAGAAGAAAAGCAGTAACAACAATACAGGAAGAGTTAGAGCCAAGAGATCACAGTAGTTATGGTAGGAAGCTGGAGAATACTAACAATGACCAGTTTTCCACAAGCTCAAATGAAGAGCCAACTTGGCTATTTTAATAGATTCTAAATTTAGTAATGAAACATAGTATTTAAGTGAAATATTTCAAATTATCTTAGGATGGTCACTTCTGGCATGAAGCCAGATAACAAAAGAAGGGACTGCAAAACAAGAATGAATGGAGTATCTAGGGACTTTACCTTTTTTGTGTTTTTATGAGACACATCTCACTGAATGACCTGTAACTCCATATGTAGACCAAGCTGGCCTCAAATTCAAGAGATCCACCTGCTTCTGCCTCTGTCTCCTGAGTGCTGGGATTAAAAGTATGTGCTACTACATCTGGTTTGCTCTGTACTTAATTGCACTGTATTTAATGAGGAGAGATACTGGTTCATGGCTCAATGCAGGAAGTGTCTTGTGGGGGGAAGATGAAGGTATGAAAACTGAAAGAACATCAGAGGAGTGATTCAACTGTTACATTCGTTCACAAATTCACACTGGTGTTAAATCATGCATTCATTTCCTTCATTCAGTTACTTGACTTTCTATTTCCTCAGTGTTTGCTTCCTGTCACTCTGCATGTCATGCATTAATAATACAATAATATAAACTATGATCACTGATGCATGGAGATTATGACATAAAGGGAAATGTAAAAAGTCAGTATTTTAATAATACAAATAGGAGGAAGTCTTAATTAATGATGCTTTCTCCATTGTTATTTTATTATATATTATTATACTATATCACTTCTCCAAGTGAGTTAAATAATGTGAAGTGAAACTGCCCAAGATATTTTGGGAAGAATATTTTATAGCAGTAAATTGAACTCTGCATTTCTAGAAGCTTACAGAATGAAATTTTATATCCCTACTTAAGATGTGTGTTGCTAGAAATAACAAATGGGGGTGTCTGAAGTCAATTAAATACTTCAAGAAAACAGCTTAATTGTTTGCAAGTTGAACACTATTTTGAAATGAAGGAGGGGAATGCTCTCTGATCCTTACTAACAGGATGTGATATCTCAATACATTCAGATGTTTTTCTTTGATTATTGAAAAACATGTCTAAACAGAGACCCGTGAGGAAGTCTCATCATAACACTACAGAAAAGCAGTAAAGTTTCAGAGTTGAAAATATTTGTGATATATGCACACATTAAGATGATAGATAGATCATAGATACATAGATGGATACATAGATGAAGCATTAGATCCAGACAGAAGACAGAGACAAGACAGAGACAACTTTTCTTTGATAGTATTCCATACACTTTTTTTGACCTTATTGATATCTTAAGTATTATCCAGCATGAAGTGCAATTCTTCCCTCTGTAATAATGGTATAATGGTGTCTCTTGCTGATGTCTTACAAAATGAACACTTTCTATAGCTACAATGAAAAGAACATGCTAGGCTAGAAGGAAAGAGAGTCGAGAAGATATCCAAAGGACCTTGTTACTGTGATTTTCGTTCTTCAAATTCTACTACCCTGGATGCTTGCCCTAACACTTGCAAGCAGAGTGAAATTTGATTTTTTTTTTAAATTTCTCTAATTGCAATTTTAGTAGTTCAGTTCAGGTAACACCCTTTCCAAAGAGACCCTGTTGGATGGGAAAATAAATAGCAATAGCAAAGGCACCAGTGGTTCCTGTGTGAGTAGCCCAGAGTATTATGAGATCATTAAAAAGCAAGACTAGTCGAGCTCCCATGCTTCCTTGACTTCCAAAAGAACACATAGAGAAACACAAAGCAGCCTGAATGCTTCACTGCCCAAGGGAATGCATCAGTTTCTTAGGAACTGAAGGCTCACACTGTCCCAGGAGCCTATGATACACGCCTCTCAAGGCAGCTAGACCAGGCCAACTCCATGATTCTCCACAGATGATGATGATGATGATGATGATGGTGATGATGATGTTGTTGGTGGTGGTGGCGGTGATAGGACATGATGATGATGATGATGATGATGATGATGATGTTGGTGGTGGTGGCGGTGATAGGACATGATGATGATGATGATAGCTGTGTGTTCCCTTAGAAGTCAAGGAAGCATGGAAGCTCGACAGGACAATTGGTCTTAGCCATTAATCTTGTGTACTCTGTAAGGTTTGCAAACATCATTGTATCCTGGCAACTACAACTGTATTGATCTGGGAAATTATTGCAGTATTCTATTTCTGATAGGGTATAAAGAGTCTCACTGCTATCAATAAAAACTGTCACAGCCTCAAAAAAAAAAAACAAAAACCAGCAAGACTAGAATATCACATGCTGAAGATGATAACCAAGTCCTGAGTTATCTGAAATACGAAGCTCCCCTTCTCTGATACTCCCTAATCCCCTTGAAGCATGCACTTTATTCTCTATTCTTTTCAGAAAACCTGGACTTTAGAAATGAAAACCTAATTTCTGTTTCCTGGAGAATTCTGAAATCCAATACTCTCATGGCCCTCTTGGTAATGCCTACAGGGTCCAGTGTGAGGGGTTTCTTTGTGATTTGAATATGAAGTTACTTTCTATTTCTGGAAGAGAAGACCTAAAAATATTTCCTTCTCTCTGTGTGAACCAAGACTGAGTAGGTTCTAGCTATGTTATTATGAGTGCTACTTTTTGCTTCATGTCAAAATTGAGGGAAGTGCCTATCTCTTCATCTCCCCAACAGTGTTATCACAGGGCCAATAAAGGATCAAACTAAAACTAGGATCTGAGATTTAGAGGAGAGCAGGGTTATAACCCTGTGCATACTTGTTTTTAGTCAAAGGATATAACCAAAGAAAGCTCTCCTGGTGCTTTCCCCAGACGGGGGCACCCTAAATGAATAGCTGCTGTGAAAGTGTCTCGATGTACACAAACATCATTAAAGGTCAGGAGTTCAATATCCACAGAATGAGAAATCGGCAGACAGCGACGTAAAAGCCATTCGGACAATTTCACCCTGTTCCTTGTCATCCTCCCAGTGCCCCAGGACAAGGTCAGAAGAACACAGCAGGAAGTGGGTAAACCATACTTCCCATAGCAGCACCAGACCTGGTCAAAAAAAAATGTATGCCCCTGAGAGAGGAAGAGTCAGAGACCAATGGCTTTAATAACTGTGAGCACTGTGTTTTGAAGGAAGGCAATTGCAGTGAAAATCTTCTTAAATGCACTGCTCTCTGTTGTCTGGAAATTACTGACTCACAGTTTTATTTCTGCACATTAGGACTCTGGATGCAATTATAGGAGCACCTTCTAAAATTCATGAGCATTTTGTATTCCTAGCAACCCATACACCGTAACTGTCGCACTAAATTAACTGGCTGCAGTACGCTTCAAAATCAAAAGAATTTCTAACAGCCACATGGATGTGAATTTTCTCTTCTAAGAGAAATGCAAATTCTATAAATGATGAAATTAATTGGCACTAAACAATAAAGACACAGGAACACTGTTCACTCGGCCTTAGGGCCCACAGTAGTTTGACCATCACTAGACTGCTTTCTGATGTGGTTGCTCATACAGAAATGACTTCTATAATGCTATAATTGGTCTACGACAAATGGAAGAATGGAAGATGATTAGGAGGTTTGGACTCTTGTTTGATTTCTTCCACATGACACAGCTTCTAAACGTGAAACACCCTACACGTACACATTAAGCAAACATTGGGGTACACGAAAAGTTTCCAGTTGATACATTAAGTTTATTGGTATGGCTACTGAAATGTGAGTCTAAAAGTAAGTTTATTAACAAAACCTTCCAAAGCTATTTCATTAATGAGAAAAATGATATGTCTGTGCTCATTTCTTCCTCATCTACTCTACCTTACACATCTACTATAGTATTTTATTTTCAAATATGTAGTTTCACCATTAACCAAAGGAGGACTCCATTTCTATCATGTCTTGGCACATTACATCTTCATAATTTATAATAAAATCTAGAACTCAGAATCTATGTATTAAAATTTCTGTTTAAGGAAGCAGATGGAAGACACCATTCCTCATTGTTACCAGTTTAAGCATGGAATGTTTTTAGGCAAAAGCCCTGTTACCGTCCAGGACTTAAATAATACTAGAAGCCATAGGAAAACTTGTAGTTTTTTGAATGATGCTACTATATTTTAGCACTTTTGTATTCATGCATAGCACAGCCACCCATAGTTAGAATGAGGGGACATATAAATGGTTTAAAAACTTAATGCCTTAAATGTCACCACAGAGATCATGAAAAAAAATGCTTTTGATAGGGATGATTCATTTAAAGTTAGGTTATATAAAGGTGCATGCTGCTACAGAGTTTTCTGAAGTTTAAAAAAAATGTACTTTCATAAATTAAGCTAACATCCACCCAAAACAGGCTCACATTTTCTCCAGCAAGACCTGCTCTCTCTATTTTTCCTTCAAAAGTTTATTATATAATAATAATTGTTATTAGTTTCAGTCTGATTTAAATATTTTTTCATTAGAAACTTATAGTGTTCATACACACACACACACACACACACACACACACACACACACACACACACACACATATATATAAACTTTCATTATACATTCATCTCTTGATGCATGTCTAGGTTGATTATAGTTCCTTGCTACAGTGAATAGAGTAGCAGTAAACATGGGTGTGCAATTGTCTCTAGGACAGGGGATAGAGTTCTCTGGGTATGTGCCCAAGAGAGAAATAGTTAGGTCATATGGTAGCCCTATTTTTAGTTTTGAATACGATTTGAAGAAAAGTGTATCCAAACCAGAATATTTAATAATAAAATTTTCCGTCTTTTGAATGTACTACATCTACAAAGGTAACATAATTCTTACATAGTTACTAATAAGAACAGGGGAAGAAACATTGTTTTATCTAGTCTAATGAGAAAGACTTGTTTTCAAAGAGCAAGATTTATATTTTTTTAAACTTTCATATAAATGTATTATATTTTATGGGGCTTAAAATAATTCTACATTAAGAAATATATTTGCTTAACTATTTCAAGTAAATTTATAGCTTTTAATGTATTTTTATTAAAGGAAGGTAACCTTGTACCATCTGAAAATGCAAGTAATAGAATTCGTTCAGTAGAAATAAGTTTTAAGGCAAATCTTGTTTTAGTTCTGCCATGCAATATTCTTTACTCATAACAACTCATCTTATTGAAGTTCACTGCTTCAGACATATAAATAAAGCTGTAAAAACTATGTGAATTAGAGGAACAAGGCACCCTGTATAAATTATTTAAGTGTCACAGATTATGTGGCTACCAATTTAATCAACTGCATTTCATATTCTACTATCATAATGATTTTACAGTATTTTATAATCAATGTAAATTAAAATATTTTCACTTCAAATTTCAGCATTTTTGCCAGTTAAATGGACAGTGATGGAAAAATGTTTCAAGAAACTGTGCTATTTACTGTTGTGAGAAATTTAGTAATATGCTATACATTGATTCAATAATTTTACATTCACTTAAATATTCAACAAAATACAGATGATCTGAAAAAGAGAAAAAATGAAACCAAAGAGATATACAATGTAGTATTATGTGTAATCATAAAAGTGTAAAAAGAACTTAGTTTCATGACAGAAATAAAAAAATTTAAAGGACAAGGAAAAAGATAAAACTGCTTTTAAGACAGAATTAAGAGAAAACTGCAGCCCATAAAACACTTTACTGAGTCAACAATGCAAACTGGTTTCAAAAATGGACAGTAATATTCAATCACAAACTGGTTAATGTTGTAACATGTTTAAAGTGTGTGTGTGTGTGTGTGTGTGTGTGTGTGTGTTTGTGTGTGTGTGTTCTTAGCAAGTATGTGAGTATCTTAGAGTTCATTTCTACAAACTTAATGATACAGATAAAATATTGACTATGTCCCCTTAATAGAATAAAACATAACATTTATAGGCTGCTGTCACTGTGAAACACTGAACTGTTTTTCAGTAACATTTTCTTTTATAGGTATGAGTAAATGCTGAAGTCATGAATGAATGATACAGTATATGGAATACACAAGCTGGTAACATAGATGTTTGTTAACATTATCAAATATAAAAATACATACATACTTGGATATCATGCACTTTAAAACACTGGCAGAACGGTAGGTTGCTTGCATCAGCATGATACAAGCCCCTGCGTGCTGTGCACACTACAGAGATGTAAGCAGGTAAAAGGAGTTTGCATCAAAATCCTACAGGAACACCGACGAATACCTAGTGTGTCTAGCATGGGTGGATATGTCACCAGGACTGTACATTGCAAAATTAGTGGTTGTGTTGCTGAGAGAAAGCAGCACAGAAACTACTTACTGTTCTGTGTTTTTCTTTTCCTTTTGAGATTATAATATAATTACATCATTTCTCCCTTGCCTTTCTTCCTTCTAAACCCTTCCATATAAGTCTCTTCACTCTTTCAAATTCATGCCCTATATATATATATATATATATATATATATATATATATATATATATATATATACACACACACAAAACCCAAGATATAATCTGCTCAGTCTGTCTAATGTTACTTGTATATATGCTTCCAGGACTGACCATTGGTTTTATTTTATATTTTCTATATACAAAATATTTTCATTATTTATGCATTATTTGTCTCATGAGAAATGGTTATGTTAAAAGAGCAAGATTTGCCATTTAAAATTTCAATCTGAATATGTTGTATGTTATGGGGCTTCCCTTTTAAATTACAATTGAACTGGAATAATTCTCAAGCAAAAGATACCTCATCAGTTGTAATACCAATGCAATCAATCAGTTTGATCTGAATATATCCAGTTTGTTTTTTCTTTGAAGTGGTCAGGTTAGAAATTTTGCTTACTTTACCACAATATTTCCTAAGCTTCGAGCCTTCAATTTTTGCATGTTGTCATCCAAAATCATAACTGTAAACAAAAATATGAACACAAATTTAAATACAATTTTGTGCACAAATACTAACCCTCAAACTTCAAATATTTTCCCATATTTTCTAAATTCAATCCTAAAGTTTCTAGGTCAAAATATTATTTGTATTCTTGTAAGACCATGAAGATATATTAGTAAGCTCAACTACTTTTTATAAAAGCATAAAAGCCCATGCATTTTACGTTTAGCAAGATAGTAAATTTCTCCAGAACCTTCCTAAAATAAATACGTATATTTAACAGCCCCACAGACTTATTTTTTATGGTTATGTCCATGTAAGAATATTAACCATATGTTTATCTTCCATAAACTAAAGGATGCAGTTTAAAAATACAGCCAAATATACATACAATAAAAATGAAGGAAGCATATCCATTTGTGAGATGTAAATTAGCTAAATTTATATTTCCAGATATTATTCCAATATTTTCTGTGATGCCCTGATAAAATATGGAAAGTGTTTGATAGTAAATCTCGCATCCACATTATAGTATATCAATCACAAAAATGAATTATAATCATCTAGGTTCTTTATGTAAATTCCTTGTGTTGTTTTATTCATGTAGGCCATTCCTAAGTAGCTATCGGAAGACTCTAACCCAAGATTAAATTAGTCACCTGGATTTTTTCATAAAGAAAGGCTTCCTTTCCTTTCCCAGTGTAGCTTGCTTTTTTTTAAACCATAATCCTTTGTATTATGTTATGCTTTCAAGGTTCTGTATAATCATAAAACAAACCCAAAATATATCAGTCATATAACCAGTCCCTGGTTCCTCAACTACAGTACTGTAATCCTTCCTCTGGAAACCAGTGGTTTTCAGACAATGAGGAGTTTCTGTATTAAAGTGAGACATCAAAGTTTCACTCTTTCTTACAACTGGGTATAAAAAAGTACCAGACACACTAAGGGGAAAACGTGTTTAACGTCTCCCACAATCGGCAGCCCCGAAAAATGTCTCAACACAAAGTCAGTTTTCTGATCAAAGAAAGAGGATGACAACCGTTCACATGAGGGATTCGATAGATACGGGCTCTTTTTCCCATGGCGGGAGAAGTTCAGACTTCACACAATTATAAAACAGACATCTGCCTACCATAAAAAATCCAACACGACTGTCTAAACATGAGCTGAACAAGGACAACAGCAATAGATGTGCTAAAGTGGACAGAAAGCTTATGAAGCTTCAAAGATATATAAAGAACTGCAGATAGCTAAGCATACTGAGAGAAGGAGAAATAGTCTTCCCCAGAGAAGAGCTCATAAGTTGATTATCCAATTCCAAGTGGTCAGCCTTGAAAATATACATGTCTTAGGGTTTCTATTGTGATGATGAGACACCATGACCCAAGAGCAACTTTGGCAAGAAAGGGTTTATTTTGCTCACAGTTCCATAACATTTCATTATACAAAGCAGTGAGGGCAGGAACTCAGGCAGGTTAGGAACCTGGAGGCAGGAGCTGATGATGCAGAGGCCATGGAAGGGTGCTGCTTACTGGCTTGCTCCACACAGCTTGCTCAGCCTGCTTTCTTATAGAGCTCAGGACTACCACATTAGGGATAGCATCACCCACAATGGGCTGGGCCCTTCCCCATTGATCATTAATTAGGAAAACACCCAACAGCTGGATCTTATGGAGGCATTTCCTCAATTGAGGCTCCCTCCTCTCTGATGACTGTAACTTGTGTCAAGTTGACATAAAACTAGCAAGTACATAACACTAAGCAGACTATCCCTGAAAGTGGCTTTTCCTCATAAATATAGTAGACAAAATTGTGTCACCTTATGTAAATTACATATAAAACCTTTATATATTAAATACAAATAAATATGTATATGTATATTGTATAACCTTTATGCCTTATTTCCCTTTTTTGCACAGTGAATGTCTAAATCTATATCACTTTGGTTTCCCTGGCTTCTCTGAAATGTTAGTGGCACCAACAGCTGATATTTCATTACATATTTTGTGTTGTGGTGCCTGTGTGACTGCTTGGTTGTATCACATCACAATTCACCAGCCCTAGAAAGCCATACAATCATAATAGGCATTTAAAATTAAGAGAACTGAACGTTAAAAAACTTAAAAATTTTACAGTTAATGACGGGAGTCCCATAGACATTATTTGGCTATAACAGCCACTTACAGTAGTATATAAATAAAATAAATATGAAAAATATAAAATTTAAAAATAAATATAAAAATCAAATATTGGGAAGATATACTATTGTTTTATAAATCCCACAGTAAAGAAATATTTCTTTAAAATCTTTTACTCTGCATTTAATTTTAGCCAACAAGATTGAAAAAAACTTTTCACCATTCTTCAAAAGCATTGTGGAAGAAGCTATCAATTTTTTGTTAATGAAGCAAGACAACAAAGACAACCACAATGATTTGTGTGTTCTTAAAACTAAAGGACTACATTACTGTAGCAATGATGTCCAGTCTCTATGTGGGTGCTTCAAGTTACTCATCTCTAAATACTTACAACATCTACAGATTAAATATGCATCATCAAAAGATGAAATGGTGAATGTAAGTACTGGGCACTTCACAGTCATTAATTTCAGACCCATATCCTCAAAAGACTCTTCAAAGTGACATTTTGTTGACTGTTTTAGTTATCCAAAAGAAGCCATTAGAAGACCATAGCATTATTTTTCATTGCAAAAACTGAAGAATTCATTTCTAATATATGACATTCTTAAAAGCAAGTACTTTTTATACAATAGGTCCAAGAAAATACCAAATTCAGTAACAGTGCACATTTCAAATTGCCAGTATCATGACTTACCATTGTATCCTGGAACACATTTTCCTGCTTGCCCTGGTGGAGGTGTTTTGGAGTTGCCCAATCCAATACATGATGCTGTTATTGGGGATCCAGTCTCTGAGGGGAAAAGCATGGCTTATCACTTACTGCTTCAGCACTGAGTTACATTTCTTTAGTACTTGTACACAGTTCCATTAGTGCTGGACCTAAATTAGATTGTCTTATAATTTTATCTCATTAGGAATAGAGTCAACTCTACCTGCACTCTAGTATTTAAGATACTTAGCTCTATGGTCACTGCTGCAGATCTGTAACATGAAATCAGAGCCATACTTACTATTTAACAGAGCTCACAGATACACTTATATCACAATAAAAATCAGAGAAATCCCCAGAACATTATTAAGAAGTGAAAACAACAATATTTGGTGCATTCATAAACTGGGTGGTGGTGGTGCATGCCTTTAATCCAAGAACTCGGGAGGCAGAGCCAGGTGGATCTCTGTGAGTTCGAGTCCAGCCTGGTCTACAGAGCAAGATCCAGGAAAGGCACAAAGCTACACAGAGAAACCCTGTCTTGAAATACCGAAGGAAAAAAAAGAAAGAAAAACAACTAAAAGATATATTTAGAGTAATTCATATGGTGTATTTCTTCTAAAGAAAAGAAAGGACTATTGGATGAGTCAGGAGATGGAAGAATGGAAAATTATATAACCATAAAGTCTTTGCAACATAGGCTAAAAGATAAAAAAAGCAAGAGAAAAGATATTCCTTCTGGAGTCATCTAAAGTTACTACGTTTTTCAATATACAGCTTATTTGTGTGCTTTATTTCTGGTAGTTTTAACTTGTTGTCTGGAGAAATTGCATCTTGAGCTAAGGAACTGTATTAAAGGGTCACAGCACTAGGAAAGTTGAGAATCACTGTTCTAAGGTTTAAGATACTAAGCATGTGTCCCCTGTAAAGATAATCAGTAACCAGGACCAGATGTTTCTGGGGCTTAAGAGAGAATTCACAAATATTTTTTATCATATCTAATCTCATTTTTTCCATAAAATGGCATTTTGTATCCATGAAATACTCACCTTATTTCTATTTCCCCTACCGTACAACCAATGCAGAGAGAAATGTACATGATTGGAAAGACTAACAGTGTTTTCTCCTTCATAGTTTCGAAAACATAGTCACTTCAATTAACACTCATAAGTGATATGAGAGATAACCAGTAAAAATGATAAGAAGTACCCTTGCAGAGTTATGAGCTTAAGGAAGGGAACACAGGATGCAGAAGTCCTGTGTTATACATAAACACAACCTCACACTACATTGGAACGTGTTAGGAAAGGGAAGAGACCTTTCTAGGTGCTTCTGTGTCTCTACCAGCATTTCAGGTGCTCCAGTCAACCTAATTGAAAGATATTTGCTGTCAAGTTTTGTCAAGATGGTCACTCTAATCAACTGGAGTTCAAACTTTCTACAGAATTTAGCAATATAAGACCTGTGCCGCTTGTTAACAGACACTTCTAGAATCCAAGAAAGAATCAGCAGTCTCTACTGCCTACTAGAATATAGTACTTGCTTCCTAAGATACTAACAAACAAACCTTATAACTAATAACAAAACAACTAAACTGTAACTGTTCCTATCCCAATATAGGATTTTTTTTTAATTTAACTAACTTTTTGTTCATTTTACATACCAACATCAGTTCCCCCTCCCTCCTCTCATCCTGTTCCCTCCCCTGACTCCCATCTACCCTCTCCTCATCAACTCCTCAAGTCTCTGTCTCCATTCAGAAAGAGGCAGGCCTCCCATGGGCTTGAACAAAGCCTGGCACATCAAGTTGAGGTAGAACCAAGCTCCTCCCCCTGCATAAAGGCCAGGTGAGGTAATCTAGTATGGGGAACAGGTTCCCAGAAGCCAACTAAGCACCAAGGACAGATCCTGATCTCAATGCTTGAAGTCTTACAAACAGAAGAAGCTACACAACTGTCACATACATGCAGAGGGCCTAGGTCAGTCCTATGCAGGCTTCCTAACTGTTGGTCCAGAGTCCATGTGCTCCCAGGTCAGCTGTCTCTGTGGGTTTCCCCTTCATGACCTACACACAAACACACACACACACACACACACACACACACACACACACACACACACACACACACACACAGAGTCTACAGCTCCTACAATCCCTCCTCCCTTTTTTCAATAGGACTCCTGGAGCTCAGCCCAGTGCTTAGTTATGTATCTCTGCCTCTGCTTCCATCAGTAACTGGATAAAGGATCTGTGTTGATAATTACGACAGTCACCTATCTGATTACAGGAGAAAGCCAGTTCAGACACCCTCTCCACTATTGCTGGGAGTTTTAGCTGGGATCATACTTGTGGATTCCTAGGAGTTTCCCTGGTACCAGGTTTTTACTAACCTGGAAATGTCCCCACTTCATCAAGACTTCTTTTTCATGACTCTCCCCTCTGTCCAGCCCCTAACTCTCCTTCCACCTAACCTTCTCCCTCAAGTTCCAATCCCCACCCACCTACACAGTCCCTCCATCCCAGTTTATCCAGGAGATCTCTTCTGTTCTTCCTTCCCAGGGAAATCTATGCATTCCTCTTTAGGCCCCCATTGTTATCTGGCCTCCCTGGGCCTGTGGACTGTAGGTTGGTTATCCTGTACTTTATCCTAATACCCACCTATGAGTGAGTATATACTATGTTAGTTTTTCTGGGTTTGAGTTACCTCACTCAGAATGGTTTTTCCTAGTTCCATCCATTTTCCTGTAAATTTGATGATGTCATTGTTTTTTACTGTTGAGTAATACTTCATTGTGTAAATGTACCATGTTTTCTTTATCCATTCTTTGGTTGAGAGGTATCTAAGTTGTTTCCAGGTTCTGGCTATTATGAATAATGCCCCTATAAATATAGTTAAGCAAGTGTCCTTGTGGTATAATTGAGCATCCTTTGGGTGTGGTATAGTTGGGTCATGAGGTAGATTGACTCCCATTTTCCTGACAAAATGTGAGTGTTCCCCTTACACCACATCGTCTTCAACTAAGCTGTCATCAGTGTTTATTTTTAATCTTAGCCATTCTGACAGGTGTAAGATGATATCTCAGAATCATTTTGATTTGCATTTCTCTGATGACTAAGGATGTTGGGCAATTCCTTCAGCATCTACCGGCCATTTGAGATTCTTCTGTTGAGAATTTTCTATTTAGATCTTCACTTCATTTTTTTAATTTGATTATTAGGTATTTTGATGTCTAGTTTCTTGAGACTTCAAGTATATTTTGGAGATCAACCCTCTACCAGATGTGGGGTTGGTGAAGAGCTTTTCCTATTCTGTAGGCTGCCATTTTGTTTTATTACAGTGTCCTTTGCCTTACAGAAGCTTCTCCTATAGCTGATAAACACCTTCAGTAATGTAGCAGGATACAAAATTACCTTAAAAAATCAGTAGCCCTCCTATATATAAATGATAAATGGGCTGAGAAAGAAATCAGAGAAACAGCCCCCTTTACAACAGCCACAAATAATATTGGGGTAACGCTCACCAAACAAGAGAAAAACCTATATGACAAGAACTTTAAGTCTCTGAAGAAAGAAATTGAAGAAGATATCAGAATATTGAAAGATCTCCCGTGTTCATGGATAGGTAGGATCAATGTAGTAAAAATGGCAACCTTACTAAATGCAGTCTACAGATTCAATGCAACCCCCATCAAATGCTAACACAATTCTTCACAGACCTTGAAAGAACAATACTCAACTTCATACGGAAAAACAAAAATCCCAGGATAGCTAAAACAATCCTGTACAATAAAGGAACTTCCACAAGTATCATCATCCCTGACTTCAAGCTCTACGATAGAGCTATAGTAATAAAAATAGCTTGGTATTAGCATAAAAACAGATACTATTCTCTCATAGTTTTCTTTCTTTATAACTGTGACTATCTTGAAATGCAACAAAGAAGCCAAAACTATACAATAGAGAAAAGAAAGCATCTTCAACAAATGGTGCTGGCATAACTTGATGTCAACAGGTAGAAGAATGCAAATAGATCCATATCGATCACCCTGCACAAAACTCAAGTCCAAGAGGATCAAAGACCTCAACACAAATCCAGTTACACTGAACCTGATATAAGAGAAAGTGGGAAGTAGCCTTGAATACACTGGCACAGGAGACCACTTCCTAAATATAACACCAGTAGCACAGACACTGAGATAGATAATTAATAAATGGGACCTTCTGAAACAATACAGGATGTTTTTTGTTTTGTTTGTTTGTTTGTTTGTTTTTTGAGATGGTTTCACTATGTATACCTAGCTGGCCTGGAACTCTCTATGTCAATGTGGACCAGGATGTCCTAGAACTCACAGAAGTTCTCCTGCCTTTGCCTACTGAGTCTTGTGCATTAAAACCATGTATCAGGAAGCCTTGCTCACTGTAGAATCTTATAAGTGATGTCAGCACTCTGTTTTTCTCACTTCACATGGAAAGGGAGTGTTTAAAGAAGATGGAAGAACAAAACTTTCCTTAAATGGAAATGCAGGAAAGAATTAGAAAAAAAAATCTTCATTGCACTACCCTGCATAAGAAGGTGACATACACATTTCCTGAAATGCTTATGTTATTTTCTGTTTATAATCTGTCAACCTTCAACTGTCTTGGATTATTATTGTTATTATTATTATTATTATTATTATTATTATTATTATTACTAAAAACTACTGAAAGCACATGTTCTATATAACAAATTTTACTCAGAAATTTAGATCACTTAAATGAAATAAAGTTTATGATTTGAACATTAATAATTCAAATATCCTATTTAGCTAAATTTTATATTCATTTAGAGGACCAGAAAAAGAACTGCTGCTAATGATAGGCATATGGTATGATCCAGCAAAAGGCAGTGATTAGGACTGTCAGGATAATAAGGAGTCTTAGACAGGAGCAAGAGGGGATGAAAATAGATACTATTCTCTCAGTTTTCTTTCTTTGTAACTGTGACTATCTTGAGATGCAACAACTTATCATGCCATACCATCCTATCCACAGATGTCCACCTGTCTTTACACATAGTCTTGATGAACAAACTGTTGAT